TTCATCAGACCTACAAATTCAAAAAGAAAACAGAAAAAAACAACTTCGGAAATAAAAACAGAATGTAGAGAGAGTGTAAGTATGAGGGGGAGGGAGATTAAACCTTAACAGAGAGAATATTAGGAGAGGTGGGTGGAAGGGGTTTAAGTAAGAGAACACTAATAATCTTATAAATATAAGCAGCTATATTCGTCCGGCAAAACCAATACCCAAACGAAAAAAAGGGTAAAAAAAAGAAAGAACTAAGAACATATATTTCCGGCGAAAATAATCATCTAGAATCTAAGTTCAGAATCCAACGAAAAAACCTCCGAAACGAGTAAAGTAAAAATAACTAAGCAAAAAGTGCTCAATACGCTAAGTAGAGCAAACTAAGTAAACCTAAAGAGCCAGACAAACCTACCTAGGTTTCACCTACGCGGATCGTTAGAAAGAAAAACGGACAAATTTAAGGTCCCATAGTTATAATTTATTTCCCCATGGAGTTTCTTTTTTCCTGGTTCATCAGACCTCACTTCTAAGGATGAAAAAATGAATTTAAACTTACACTTTAGAAGGGTAGTATTAAGCTGATCTAAGATGGTATAGAGAGTGGTAAGAAATAGTGTGACAAACATGGTCGAAAATTGGAGAGGGAAGGGAGAGATAGGAATGTTTTAAATTTATTTTTATAACAATACTTAATAGTGAGGCAGCGGGGGTAAGGATTAGACATTGGCCTATTTTATAGGCCAACTCACCGGAAACAATAAAAAAGAGAAAAAAAGGGGAGAAGTAAAGATGTAAGAAATTATATATATATATATATATATATATATATATATATATATATATATATATATAATCATTTCGCTCTAAGCAAGTAGATATGTCTCAAGGACGTAGAAGGTTACAAGGAGCGAAAAAGAGAATGAAACGATTTTAGTGAGAAATGAGGAAAAGGACAATAAACGAATAAGATTCCTTAAAACAGAAGATGGCGTTTGACGTTGCATTTAAATACTTGAACACTGTAGTTGGCAGGGAAGCAAGAAATCGGAAGAGAGTAAAGAAACTTTTAGAATAGTACAGACGGTTGGATCTAGCTAGTTCAACAGTAAAACAGTGAGACCGAACTGCCACTCTAGTAGAACGCATATACATGCAGTCAAAGCACTAAGAAGAAAAGGTCATCAGAATAGTTGCCATGAAAATATTTTTTGTTATAGTGGAACACACCTATTCTATAGTTAATAGACTCTCCCACCTATAATAAGTAGGAGTAGTAAGAGTAACAAGGGAGTTGCTCAGGAGTTGGTCAGTCAGTCGAAGTCGGACATTAAAGTATCAGCCACCACAACTAGATTTCTCTGCGTCATTATCTATTATATCAAGTTCCTAACGTTTTGTACGTCGAACCCATTTTAGGAACGACTTAGTACAAATACAAGATTCCACTGTGAAACCACTACATAACATAAGAAATTTATATAAACAAGGATCATTTCATTCATAACGGATACGGAGGTTTTTGTATATTATTTGAATTGTTTGCGATGATGGATGTCTCGCCATTTAAATCATTAACCTTTGCATTAGTTTTTGTGTGAATAATTCATGTATTTGTAAATTTATTGCACGTTTATCGTAATATATATATATATATATATAGATATTGTATATATATACTGTATATATATATATTGTATATATATATATATATATATATATATATATATATATATATATATATATATATATAAGGAAAGATATTATAAGCTGAAATTCACATGGTATATTTAGTTGTAAATAAATATGTAAATATAAATATACCCTGAAGTCTTTACTAATATATCATCCGATAAAACCATCTCCATCTAAACGGAACGCACGAAGTATGCATAGATAACTCCCCAGCAGGGCTCTTTTTACTCATAGACCCCGGAGGGGACTTGGTAATTAGGCACTTAAAATTACTCTCCAGGAAGATGATACCACTAGCAATAATAATAATA